AGATCAAGAAAATAGTAAAGATGAAATGGAAAATAAGAATTTAGACCCACATGTCTTCATATCTTTCTGAAAATGGGCATGTCCTTCACCATCTTCCTTTTCTATGTCTTTCCTCCTCTCTCCCCTCTCTTGCTCCTTCCCCTCGTTCAGTTGTCATATCTCTTTCATCTCCCCAGTCTGTGACCTTTTCTCAGTCTTTCCTGGTCTTTCATGCCCTTGACACTTGAATGGTAATTGTCAGATGTTCTGTGGAAGGTCTCTCAGTCTTGGTTTGTCTGATGTTTTCTTACGAAAAGGCTGAGATTATGAATTTTGTGGAAGATACCACAGAGGTGATGTGCCCTTCTTGTCGCATCATATTGCAGCATATGACATCAGTATGACTCATGGTTAACTGGTGATGTTAACCTTGATCACTTGGTTCAGGTGGTGTCTCACAGGTTTCCCTGCTATAGAGTTTTTTATTCATTCTATACTCTATTGATTAGAAGTGTGTGACACTTTGTCTTCAGCTTTATTATGGTATAATTGACAAATAAAAATTGTACATATTTATGGTGTACAGTATGACGTTTGATATATGTATATATTGTGAAACGATTACCACAATCAAGCCTATTAACATGTGGTGAGAACATTTAAGATCTACTCAAGGCAAATTTCAAGTATACAGTGTATTATTAATGACAATCACTAGGCTGTATTTCAGATCTCCAGGTCTTACTCATCCTGCAGAACTCAAACTTTGCACTTTGACCAACATCTCCCCATTTCCCCTCACCCACTAGCCCCTGGCAACCACCATTATACTCTCTGCTGCTATGGTTTTGACTTTCTTAGATTTTACATGTAGGTGAGATCACGTAGTGTTTGTCTTTCTGTATTTGGCTTATTTCACTTAGTGTACTGTTTTCCATGTTCATCCATGTTGTAGTAGTATGTGACAGGATTCCTTTCTTTCCTTTTTTTTTTTGGTTAAGACTGTATTTTTTAGAGCAGTTTAAGGTTCATAGCAAAACTGAGGGGAAGGTATAAAGATTTCCTGCATACCCCCTGGCCCCACATGTGCACAACCTCCCCCATTATCAACATTCCCGACCAGAGTGGGACATTTGTTACAATCGATCGACTTATATTGACACATCATAATTGCCCAAAGTCCACAATTTACCTTAAGGTTCACTCTTGGTGGTGTATGTTCTGTGGGTTTGTACAAATGTATAATGACATGTATCAATAGAATTGATGTCATGATTATTATATTATACAGACTCTTCCACTCCCCTAGCAATCCTGTGTTCTCCTGTTCATCTTCCCCACAACTCCCTGATCTTTTTCCTATCTGTAGTTTTGTCTTTTCTAAATGTCATGTACCTGGGATCATACAGTGGGTCGCCTTCTCAGATTGGCTTCTTTCACTTAGTAATATGCACTTAAGGTTCCTCCACGTTTTTTCATGCTTGATAGCTCATTTCTTTTTAGGGCTAAATAATATTCCATTGTCAGGATGTACCACAGTATATTTATCCATCACCTACTGAAGGACATCTTGGTTGCTTCCAAAATTTTGCAATTATGAATCAAGCTGCTATGAACATCCATGTGTAGATTTTCTGTGGATGTAAGTTTCCAATCCTTTGGATAAATATCAAGAAGGATGATTCTTGGGTCATAGGATAAGAGTATATTTAGTTTCATAAGAAAATGACCAGCTATCTACCAAAATGGCTGTACCATTTTGCATTCCCACCAGCAATTAATGGAAATTCCTATGGCTCAACATCTCTTTTAGCATTTGATGTTGTTAGAGCTCTGAATTTTGGCCATTGTAGTGGGTGGATTTCTTTCTTTTTTAAGACTGAATAATATGGATAATTTCATATTTCAATATATTTTATCATATTTTATTAACATGCATTAAATGTAATATAATTTTAATATATTACATTAATTGCATATGTATCACAGTTTCTTTCAGCCACTGATGGACATTTGGGTTGATTCTGTATCATGGCTCTTGTCTAATCCTGCAGTGAACATGGAAGTGCAGTTATCTGAGATCCTGATTTCATTTCCTTTGGATACATATGCAGAAATGGGATTCCTGGATCATATGACAGTCCTATTTTTAATTTTTTGAAGACTCTCCATACTGTTTTCCATATGGCTGTACATACCAATAGAATTTGTGTGACTTTTTTCTTTTTAATTCAAGAGTTTGGAGTTGTTTTATTTAATTATCAAGCTTATGGGATTTATGGAAGCTATATTTTTATTAAAATTTCTAACTTCATTGTAAAGTGGTAGAGTACATTGTATGCTATTGATTTTTTTGGAATTCATTGAAGTTTCTTTGTGACTTAATTCATGACCCATTTCTGTAACTGTTTCAAGTATGCTTGAAAAGAATCTGTTTTTCTCCATGGCTTGATTTCCATATCTCTGAAACAGGAAGACCCAAAAATACCAGCTCCTTTGATTTTTATTTTGAAGGTTGCAAAACTGGAGACCAAACTAAAATACAGAACAACGCTGTACTTGTTCTTTATGACTCTTTCTGTGGCAGACTCAACAAGGGATCTGTCTTGACACAAGTAAACATGGTAGGAGAGAGAGAAAAAGGAAAGTATCTGCCCTTCCTAAATACATTTGTTACCACTGGATGACAGGTTCTTAATCCTCTGTGGGGACACAATTCCAGCCTATGGAGAGGGACTGGACAGAGGGGAGGAGAAACCACCAGTGATGGTGATTCTGATTTGTGTTTGATTCCTTTGGGGCCTGCAGGACTTAGATATTTATGTACATGAAGCTGAACCTTTGCTGTGCTGCTCAGAAGTATCATTGTATGTGAGTGTGAGACGTGTCCCTTCAATCAGACTATTTGATGGCAGTTGCTTAGTCAGTTGGATTGCCAGCCTGTTGTCTTAGGAGGAAGCATGGACACTCATCTAAATTTGCCAGAGGAAGAGGAAGAGGAATTCATTGAGGTTTTATATAATTAGATCAAGGGCTTCACCTTATGGATTTACATCAGTTCCTCAATAAGCCAACCGCTCAGGTTGTTCTCCATAAGGACGCCCTGCCCCGCACTCCTGTATTGACTCTTATGCTGTCTCCCACTCTTTCATCTTCTGTTTTGTGAATTCTCATGTAACTCATGGTCAGCTTCCCGCCCTCCCTGGACATTGTTATCAGTGTCTCCAAGGTTCCAGGAGACCTCAAGCCCTTCCAAATACAAGACATCGAGAAGTGTTTTATACTAGGTTTTATATGGATATTTTCTGGGCTGTTTGTTTTGACTTTACTTTTTTGAAATGTTTGGAAATTACCAAAGTTTACACTTGGAAAAAAACACGCTTATTTTTCCTCAGTAACCTCAGCTTTTGGCAGGATCACGTGAGGTCTGCATTATATCTGGATAAAAACAGATAATGTTGCTCACACCTGTCCACATACAGAAGGGAAATCTTGCCCAGGAAGGACAGCAATTTTGGAACAAAAGAAGAGGGACAGAGTGAAGAACGTACTTAGAACTAAAAAGTATCAAGGGTAGGAGGTGGTAGCAGAATAATTTGCCAGTATTTTGACTCTCACTGGAATAGGAGACTTCACTCTACAGGGCTGTGTGGTGTGCTGTATACTGGAAGGAGCATGAAATCAGAGGGGCCTGGTTAGAATACAGTTTATACTATATATTATATATATTATTTATATTATATCCTATATATTATAGTTATATAGATAAATATAATACATTAGTTGTGAAATTTTGGCTAAGACACCTGACCACTTTGACTCCAGTCTTCACATATGCACAATGATAATTGTGATACTTGCCACACATAAAATTATTGTCATTACTGGTATAGAGAATGATATTTGGTATACTAAACACTTTAAACTGGTTTCAAAATTATTATATTACTGTATATATCACCCAATTGATTTAAAAGTACATCAGTGAATGTACTGATTACCTCATTTCATGAAGGAATTTGAGGAAGGACCCTCAATTTGACATTTTTCTATCTCACTATATTTGGGTCATACATTTGTCTTACCTTCCAAATTAAAAATATGGTGAACTCAGCAGATCAGCCCCCTCCCCATCAGCCTCTCCCTCATTTTAGCATGTTTTCCTGTGCTTCAGAAGGTGGTCCCGAGTACATGCCCTAGGTACCCTTTTTGCTAATGTTTTGCAGGGGAATTGGTCTCACCAAGTGTATGCATCAGAGCAATATTTGCAGGTGCTGTTTGACACTGCTAGCAAATACAGCAATGGAGACCTTGGTTTTTCAACAGCAGACAGTGTTCCAATGTCCAGTCATTTGTTCTGTCAGGGTGGAGAAGAGGTTGGAACTGTGGTGTGATGTCTTCCTACTCCATCTTCCTCATTGTGGCCCTGAGATAGTTAAGTAGTGTTGTTTGGGTGTCATCCTTGGATCCTCAGACCTTCTCCAGACTTTCCAATTATTATAAATGCCTGCAGTTCATGACAAATGCCTTACTGTCTAAAGTAGCTAGCTGGCTGATTGCTGAAATTGTATCCTGATTGACTTGTAAACTGTGGGCCAGGATTATGATATATAAAAAAATGAACTTGCCTTGTGGTGAAGGGAAATACAATAAATGAATGATGAAGTAAAAGTTTTGGTAAGATGGCGATAATGTGCTACAGGTAAAACTAAAGCTGGAAAGGGGCAGGGAGTGCAGGAGGTGAATGTTGCAATTTTAAATAGAGTGGTTATGGGAGACCTCAGTGGTAATGTCACTTGAGACCAGACTATTATATCAATTGCGAGCAAGGCTCTGGTGGAGTTACTGTGTTCAAATGCAATCATCCAAGAATTCCTTTTCTTAGATAACCACCTGTGTGGTGCTACTATTTTCCTTCTGGGGGAGGGTACATTGTTTAACCATAGCAAATATGGCGGAAAGGGCTTCGGTCTGACACTTGGGCCCTCAATAAAGATGGCTACAGTACTTCCTGTGTTTGCCCTCAACAAAGATGGCGACAATACTTCCTGTCTTGGGCTTTCGCCTTTAACAAAGATGGTGCTTATGGTGCAGGTTACCTAACAGTCTGGATTCCAGTTGCAGTTTTTTTTTTTAAAGATACGTGTTTGCAGACGTAAGTAACAGGAAACCAGAAGCCCCGCATCCATGTTTTCTCGGAGGTCCTTCCTTGTGGCGTCTGCGGCCTGGGCCTGGCGTGGCTCTCTCGCCCCCCTAACTGGCTCGTGGAGTTCCTAAGTCAGGCCCGGGTCGGGGTGGCGGTGGGAATGCCGAGCACCCGTTCTGCCCTCAGTTTGCCCTGAAGGTCATCGCCAGTACCCCCTTCTTAGCGGGCCAGGTTGTCCGGAAAAATCGTAGCTCTTCCTGTTCTGTAACCCAAGAGGGCTTCAGCTGGCGAGGCAGGGAAGAAAAAGTTCCAAATGGGCGCCGGCTGCCAAAAGCGCACACCGTCCTCGCCACCGGCCCCCTCCCGGCCTGCACAGCGGGCTGCGGGGCGGGGTGGGGGTCGGAAGGCGCCGGGCGGGACTGCCCTTGCCGCGGGTGTCCGGGAGCCCGTCTGCCGCCCCTGCCTTCCCTCCCCGCCGCCTGTTTACCCCCGGAGCCTCCGCAGCGCCACTCGGCCCTCTGGTGCAGTGGTCTTGGGAACGTGCCTTCAAACCATGCGGGGCTACCGACCAGGACTGGAGTGTGAACATTTTTTTCTTTTAAAAGAAAAAAAAATCGCGTTAAATGCCCCATGCATGTGTGGCTATGGCAGTTGGTTGTGATGGAGATAAGGAATTCTTGGAAGGGATGGAGTCTGTGTTTATACATAAGGTTTATTGTACACTGGGCATAAACAGTACGTGTTTTTCTTCAAGGTGATAGTGTATAGGTCTTTTCTCCTAGGGGCAAAGATCCTTTAACTTATTTGTACCTGCCTGTTTTTGACTCCGTCTCCTATTGGTAATCAGGTTCTGCAAATGCCCTTGATGGGAAGGGCACCGCATACATATTAGCAGTTTCTGCGGTGCAGGGGTACCTCTGATGAAGGTCCTTTTAAAGTAAAACCACTATGTCGTTTTAAGTATGTTGAAATGAAATGCTGCCCCACCATCCTTAAATCAAAACTGCTTTTTAAGCGGAGTCTCTAACCCACTTTCCCCCAAATGTCATTATCTACAAGGAATTGAGCTAGGACCCCATTTTGTGGAAAGCAAAAACAGAAAATAAGATTCATGTTCAGTGTTGTTCATTAGGTTGGGAAACATTCGAAATTAATTTGCCTTATCTCAAGAGCCATGTATTCAACACCGTGGTCTGGCATTCTTCTAAGGCTCAAAGATACCCCTGACCTTAAGGAGCTTGCATTGCAGGACACTGCCTTTAGGGGTTCATGAGCATTCCTGTAATCTGAGCTATGATTTCGTCTCTTCCCAGGGGGAAATGGAGGCTAGAGACAAGCAAGTGCTTCGCTCCCTTCGCCTGGAGCTGGGTGCAGAGGTACTGGTGGAGGGACTGGTTCTGCAGTATCTTTACCAGGAAGGGGTCTTGACAGAAAACCACGTTCAAGAAATCAAAGCTCAAGCCACAGGCCTCCGGAAAACAATGCTGCTGCTGGATATCCTACCTTCCAGAGGTCCTAAAGCATTTGATGCATTCCTAGATTCACTGCAGGAATTTCCCTGGGTGAGGGAGAAGCTGGAGAAGGCAAGGGAGGAAGCCATAACTGAGCTGCCTGCAGGTAGGCCTCAAAGAGATCACTTCAGACTAGCTCCAGTATTGTTGGAACTATGCCCTTTGGATTTGAAGTTGGGGTTTTAGGCTGGAAGGGGGTCAGCGCTTCCTGAAAGTGGCTGAGATGTTTGGACTGAAGGCACATGGCGTCGGAGGGACATGATGAGGAGGTAGAATTAGGAAGTTCAGGAAAGGAAGGAAGAATGAACCATGACTGAGAGGGTGAGACTGGGGCTCAGAGAATACATTTAGAAATGCTTCCAGGGAAACTTGGCAAGTCACTTGGGAGGTATGTTCCCATCTGATTGCCAGGTCTTATCTCAGCCCTTGCAGTTTTGGAAAGTGCAGAGGGGAAAGCAGGCATTAGGACTACTGGTAACTGATTTGTGGGGTGCCAGAGCTGTAGCTGGAAAGGTCAGCTTCGGAGAGGAGGAGACCGCCTCTAGGAAAGCATACTTTGCACCTGTTCGCTGGGCTGTCCTACTTGACCAAAGGGGATTATTTGGAAGTCTGGCTTAGCTTGCTTTTAAAGGTTATTGATTTAAAATAGTCCTTTTAAAAAAAGTTTGGCTTTGTTCAGTTACCCAGAGAATTTAATTTTGTAAGGACTGTAGTGTGGGGGAGTGACTCATTTTCATTTTAAGGGAAGTTGGAGGCTACAGAAGAAAGAAAGGAAGATGTGGTACGAAACCCTTGTTCCCTTTTATCACCTGTGACTTCTACTCTTTACAAAGATTGAGAAGAGAACTGAACTGGCAAAAAAAATTTGAACGTTGACTTGCTAAGAAAGTTAGGAAATCAACATTCTCTGGAATTTTTCTAACAGTGATAGATAGTACTACCCAAAGTCAGTGGTCCCAAGACTTGGTTGTTGCTTTTTTAAAAACCAGTGTAACTGGTTAAGTAATAAATACCAGTAATAAAAGACCACTTTTATTGTTTTTGCCCCATGGACCTCATATTTTGAATGATTTTTTTAGATCACATGTATTAAGTAATCATGATTTATTCTTCTGTTTTGATTATGGCATGTAACTAACATATGTCTGAATATTTGCTCACCATCAGATAATCAGTTAAATTAGGGAGGCCTGGTAAAATCCCATTGGAAAAAGCAAAAATATTTTCATTTCCTAGCATGGCCAAATTACAGGTGAGTGTGTATGTTAGGTTTTTTGAAATGCTTGCTGAAAATAGCTAGCCTTTGAGGACCACGAGAATTCTCATATTCCTTACAAAAATCCTCACAAAAATCCTTACAAAATTACATATTCCAGGTGCGTGAAAAAGGCCACACTAAAGTGTCTAAGCATTTCTACTACTTCATTGAAAGCAGAATAAATAACATTGATTTGGGGAGGTGTTAAAAGAAATATTAGGGTGTCCAATGTCTTTTCCTGGTATTTGACTTAGGGTTCCTCTTGCCAACACATTGTTGGAAACAAAGAGGCAGACGGAAAGCCTGTTACTACCAAAATATGTAATGAAATTTTATGATCATTTTGGGTACTGTAAACAGTATTGTATGTTGTTTCATTTCTTCAGATTCATTCAGAGAATAAGAAAAAAACTTGGATTTTTCTTTACTAAAATGTGGAAGTTAGAGTTGAGGGAAAAAAGTTTTTATTTAAGAGTGAGCAGACCAAAACAGTATAGAGTTGGGAAAAACTGAGTGTTATCTGTGTTGGAGTTTAAAAAAATAACATTAATTTGTTAATCCTGTGGAAGTGGCCAAATGGAACAGTGGGTCGGCTACTGCACACATTAAGGACTCTTAATTGTTTTACTTTTTGTTGAGTGACACTGCTCCTGAAAAGAATACTCTGAAGAGAAAATTTGATTTACATGTCTCTGTGTACTTCTACAATGGCAATTACATAAACTCACTTTTATAATAGGTTTTGCTAATTATCGAACCAATAAAATTACAGAATATAAGGTATGAGAATAATGTTGCAGTGAACACCTGTATCCCATCACTGAGTTAAAAAAGAAAGGCAAGCCAGGCAGAGAAAGGTAAGCACCAAATGATTTCACTTGTCTGTGGAGCATAGGAACAAAGAAAAAACAAGGAACAAAACAGCAGCATACTCACAGAACCCAAGAATGGACCAACAGTTGCCAAAGGGAAAGGGACTGGGGAGAATGGGTGGGAAGGGAGGGATAAGGGGAAAAAGGGGCATTACAGGTAGCATACATAATGTAGGGGGGCACACAGGGAAGGCAGTATAGCACAGAGAAGACAAGTAGTGACTCTATAGCATCTTACTACACTGATGGGCAGTGACTGCAATAGGGTATGTGGGGGGGACTTGATGATGGGGGGAATCTAGTAACCACAGTATTGCTCATGTAATTGTATATTAATGATACCAAAATAAAAACAGTTGAAAAGAAAAGGCTTGCTGTTGCCTTTGAGGATTCTTGGTCCTTCTGAGTCCTAGCTCATCCTCAACCCCCACTCGCTGATAAACCCTGAACTGGGACCTTATCATTTGTTTCTTCACTTGATAGTTTTCCCTCTCATAAAAATTACTTTTAAAATCCACATATGTTGTGGAAAATCTGCTGTAGCTTAAGCTTTAGGGATATATATAAAATGTGTGTGGGAGGGTAAGGGATGAAGGAAATGATATACTTTAAAGGAGTTGTTAGTTAACAGTCTTCTCTTATTTGAGACCTTAAACTTTAATTAATTTGATGGCAATATTTTAATTCTAAATTAAAATTGGAACTTAATTAATTGGAAACCAAATTTTTTAATAGAAAATCCTGAGAAGAGTATCAGAGTTGAAATGCTTTCAATTTAATGTCCCTGTGAACATGTGAATGGACCCAGGGGCCTATTTCTTAGGATTCCAGTGGTTCTCCAGTTTTACAATGCAGTAATTTTAATAAGCTTTTAAATAGTCCATTTAATCTTTGTAAAGGCATTTTGAATTTTGAGGAACTAGACTGTAGGAAAATGTGGAGCTTATGTATGTATGTATATACAGTAATCCTTCTGGCCTTTTGCTCATTTTGGTCCTAATTATTAAGCTATTTGTATAGATTTGGAGGTCTTCTCTTGGGAGGCCTTGAGAGCAAATGGGGAGGAATGGCCTTCTGTTTAGCTAAGAGGTGGATCCTTCTCCAAGAATGAACTGGATTTATTTTATTATAAAGTTTTTTTGTTTTGGTCTTCTAAGAGATTTTTGTTTTCCCCTTTGTTTAATTTTTTTGTTTCAGTTGTAAATTTTGAGCTCCCTCAAAGGCCTTATTCGGTGATTGATCCTAGTTAGTTGCTTAATAGTTTTTTAGGGAAGAATTGAGTTGTGTGTTGATCCTCTCTGCTCTTCTAAATCTTTCCCACAGCAAATCCCCAAAGCATTAGAAACCCTACTTTCAATTCTCAGAATCTGCCTGAATGACTGGTCTCCCTGTCTTTGTTAAAAAAAAAAGAGTTAAGATGTTAATAGATGATTGATTTTATGTTTTCTCACTCTATAAGGACTGTCACATTTTCAAAGGGGAATTCTGGCAGTAAAATGACTTAATCCAGCTTGGCCCTGTGGAAGGAGTACATCGTGGTGTATCCCTTACTGTTCAGGCTCACATAGAAGACACTTGATCAGCTGGAAATCCTCTCTGGGCTCCTGTCAGGTCATTTAGGAGATGAGGGTAGTGCAGAATCTGGGTGAAGGCAGCATGTGCCTGCCTGCCTGGTATCGCATTACTCACGGGTCCTGGCTGTGCTGACCAGCTCTCTCCAGTGCCCGAGCTAATCTGGATCTGGAAGGGAGGTTTGTCAGCAGCCCTGGGCTCACCAGCTGGTGGAACTTAGCCTGTGTCATCGGGGGAGTGACATCTGGGCCCCAGGACTCCCTGTTCCACCCTGTTGGCCCTGGCTGTGGGACTGAGTCTCTGCCATGCCTGTCACTTCACAGCTTGGCAATGTCTTCCTTTAGGCCTGGGAATTGGTTGGTGGTTTTTTCTTTCTCCTCCTCTCTAGGCTACATTCTGCCTTTTTGTTTCCTTGGCCACTGGCAAGGATGAAGGACCAATGTCTTGGAATATATAGCTCAGCACCTCCTGTGTTAGGATCAGATGCCTCAGCTCTTTAGCCTGCTGGAGTGGCTGTCCTGGTGACACTTTTGCTTCAACCTTGCCTGAGGTGGTCTTTGCCAGGGACCATAGCCTTGGACTCCATGGCTGCCCTCACTGGAGCAGGACGCAGGGCTGTCCTGTCTTCCCTTTGAGCTGGTTTTGTGTGAATGTTCAGAGCCACTGTCTTGAGATAAACTCTGGCTCAGGTGTAAACTTGGATGCATCTGAAATTACTGAGCAATAATGGCAAAAATTTTAGGTATTGTAATAGGTTTATTAGAGAGATTTCCACCCTGGGATTTTCCAGTCTTGTATGGATTGACCCTATTCTGCATATGATAAATTCAGTGTTGGTCTCAGCTTATCTACTTTGTGGTCTATTCAGTTACTTCCACTGAGTGGCTGAGTTAAGAGTTCAGTTTGTGGCATCCTGTGTCCTAGAGAAGGAATGGTCAGCATCCACAGTAAGACCCCTCTTTGTGGTAAGGGCAGTCTGCAGAGAACTCAGGTTTCTGTGTATCCCCAGTGTGGTTATCATACATTTCCCGAGGGCCAACTAGATGCCAGGGAGCAGGTAGTAAAGACATGTGAAGGACCTCCAGACCAACTTGAGGGGCTTTGTTCATTCATTCAACAAATACTGAGTATTGACCATGTACCAGACATTAGGTGCTAGGGGTAATATAGTAAACAAAGCCCTGTCTCTTACGGAGCTCACTATATTCTATTGTCTGCTAGGGACAGACAACAATCACATGAATATATAATAATCAGGTGGTGATAGGGCTGTGGAAAAGACAGCATATGTGGTCGTGAGGAAGGGCTTAGCATTTTATGTGGGATGGACTTGAGCATATCCATGAATTCTGCACCAGAGCAGATATGCGGAGGAAGAGGGTTTCAGATAGAGGGGCCACAGGT